TAAAAAATAATATAATTTGAGCAAGGAACATAAACAACAATGTATAAGAAACTGAATTAAACGAGATCTTGTGTCAGTAATATTGCGCAATCTGTGCTATATTGAGTCCTAAAGTGAAATGTTTATACGTTATTATACTATTCAATTTACAAGAAAGAGAAATCAAGTAGCTAAAGGCTCATCTCTATCATCACATCATAGTAGACAGGGAAAGAACAGCTCGGCCCAATTAAACGAAGTCAAGCTCAACGAATACATACTTAACGTCCTTTTACAATGATTAAACTAATCAAATTCTGTAATATGCTATTTTAAGCTGCCAACAAAATTTGGACCATCAATCTCGCTATAGCGACTCATTTAGCGGATTAGCGAAAATTCCAATATGCTTAAAGAGTATTCAGAACATTCGTATATGCGAATTACTGCGTTTGATGTCGTTTTCCACTGAGTCGTGTACTCTGACTATTCGCTTTGGTTCTTGCCATATTTCATCCACTTCAATTATAAAATTCATCGAAAGTCTTTAAATACTTGTAAAAGACGATTTGTGCTGAAGTCAAAGTTCCCTAAAGAACGAACTGAATTAAACGAGCTCTCGTGGCAGCAATATTGCGCAATCTGTGCTATATTGAGTCCTGAAGTCAAATGTTTATACGAATACCCGATAAACATCTCAGCCAGATAACCAGATGTACGAACCAAGGCTCCTCACAGCACTAAATAGTCCAGGTTAATTCGAAGTCTCAAGGAAATAATCGGGAAGAAAGGCTGTCTCCTTATACATGACGATGTGCCCACCATAATCTTTCACGGACCACTCAAAAAGCCAGCCCCTCATTACCCATCAGCTCCCTTATTCTCTATAAAACTTTGAAATGGCTATACAATTTTATATTTTGTTTCCTTCCACACATTCATGTTCCTCATGTTTGCCAAGATTGCAGAGTTAAGTATCAAACTATTTCTTCCTAAACCCCTTGCCGTCGTATCTATCCTAGCTTGATTACCTGCGTGCACCTAAAGTTACGAATTTTCTTACTTGAATAATTCCAATATTGCCAATTTCACAGTTCAGTTACAACTGCCGAGTAGATGAAGGTTCTAAAATAAAACTCTATTCAGGCAAAAATATAGATGATTAAAACGTAGCATTTAAAAGGAGAATGCTTCCATGAGAACAATAATCGCCCTTGACCTCAGTTGACGGAGAAACCATCACATTGAATGCTACCACTCAAGGCGCTAGATGCCGGGCACCTACGAACCCAATAGAATGAGGTCCAAGTCGAGTGAAGCCAGACATTTGCGATAGCATAGCAATTCTGTTCGGTCTCACTTGCGTTCATCTACTCTATTCATAGTCAAGGATTTCCAAGTTCGCCATCAGCTTATAAATTCCATGAGCGAAAAGGACGACAAATAATAGTTTCTCTATCTGATCGCTCGAACTGAGGCGAATAGTAGGAAATTATTGCCCTGAACACAAATCGCATTGAGTTATATAGGGTTTGTTGACTGTGACCCTTGTAAAATTTATATCTTTCTGCACGATCATTTCCAAAGTCAGACCGTAGACGTGGTACCTTCCCATCCGTTTCGCCAGCATCGTAGTCGATGCCGAGTTGTAGTATGGTGATACGAATGGCAAAACTCGCTGACGATGCCCGCGAAAAATCTGGGAATATACCACACCTACGATTGGACTTTGGAGATGATCGTCCATAGAATTGACTCCGGACTAGGTCCACTCCTTTAGGTAATTATAATTTTCAGTTCGTCCAATAAATCCTCGTATTCACAATACAAATGCAAATATAGTCCACTTATTTGTAAATTTATAAGGAAAACCCCATCCCCCTATTTCTGTGATATCAACCAGTTCCACTCATATTTTCCGCTGATTAGAAGGTTGGGCTTGATTTAATGTATATTCTTTACATCGATAATTCCTGTCATGCCCTGGCTTACTGAAGGTGATTATTATCGAGTATTGCCACACGATCTGTCACAATTGCCACACTGAGGCTTACGTTATTATACTATTCAATTCAGAAGAAAGAGAAATCAAGTAGCTCCGGTCTCATCTCTATCATCACATCATAGTAAACAGGGAAAGAACAGATCGGCCCAATTAAAGGAAGTCTGTAATATGCTATTTAAAGTTTGCTAGTAGGGTTGGACCATAACTCGCCCTATAGTCACCCATTCTGCGAATTGGCGGCAATTCCAATATGTTTCAAAATTATTCGGAACATTCGTATGTGCGAATTACTGCGTTTGGAGTCGTTTCCCACTGAGTCTGGTACTATGGCTATTCGCTTTGGTTCATGCCATATTTTATCCAATGCAATCATCATATCCGACGATAGACTTCAATTACTTTGAAAATCTGATTTATGCTGAAAGCAAGGTTCCCTGAAAAAGGGACTTAATGTTTGACCATTGAGCTACTCGTTAATATTATCTTCGCAAAGGTAGTGAAAAAAAAGCCCAGGATAACGATACAATCGAAGTTGTATGGATTAGTTATAAAAGAATAACCATAAAATGCCGAAAAGTATTTCACAATGAAGGTGAGATACAGACATTTACAAGGCCTAGTCTACCTCATTCTTTTCATCAGCGCTATTTGAATTATCTGCTTTGGTGTTAGAAGATTGGTCATTTTCAGTAGTTGAATTCTGCTCTGCAGAGTTCATGTTGTAGTGTGCCTGTCGAAGTGATTCAACTAACTGAGGGTTGGATGATTGCATCTGTTGAGCAAGGCGTTGACCACTGTAAAATGCGAAACATTTATCAAACATTATAAATAAAGTTTCACAATATGGTAGTAACACTTTTATCTGTAAAGATAATAGTATGCGAGTTATATCCAGATCCTTAGAATGCTAGATTAACGGCCTATTAAGGAAAGCGTGCATACACGCTTTTTATAAGTTTACATTTGGTAGAGGCCTAGCTACAAGTGGATTCACTGAAGCATAATCACCAACACCACTGGTTTCTGTTGCCATTTGCATGGCCTCTTACTTTCATTTAATCTCCCATTTCAGGTCCGCTTGTTGATTGATCCCTACTACACAAAAATTATTATACGCCTGTCTGAAATCTGGTCGCTTATGAGCCTTCAATTCCAGTCATACTCAAAGATTTAAGGGGCAGTGATGCCAATGTCCGAGCATCTTCCTCTTCTATGCTTCAGGTCCACCATCCAATTATCCTCTTTCCCACCAACAACTCAATTGTATCTCATTCTTTGGGGCCAATTGTTCTTGCATCGCGTAGATTACGCTCCTCTTGTCTCTCAAGTTAACAGTCCCATATAATCCTAAGGTTCTAGTCATTTGTTCATGTGTACATTGGTTGGTATCCTCCTTAGTCTAGTATGCCACAAGTCACCTCTGATTAGGGTATACACAGAGATACGCACTGGGTGCCAACTGTCTTGCACTCCAGGTCACTATCCACACC